AGAGCAGACCCCCTAATCTACGTGTTGGTCTTTTTAAAACTCCAGAGTCATCTGCCACGTGGAATACAAGCTTCACTTCTAATTAATGGTGTTGTTAACAAATCTTTCCGCACTAACAAGCACTCAGTGGTGTTTTCCCAAGGGCTCTGTCACAAGGAGACATCAGCAGCAGCTCACCTCCCCTGTCCCAGTGACCACTGTCAGGTGAAGCTATTTGGAATGCTGCAGACCCCAGCTCTATAACTAGACATGCCTTCTCCTTTCCATGCACTGGGACACTTGCAGCAAGGCAATCCTCTTCAGAGAACTCCTTTTCCTCCCCCTTGCCTCCTATGGTATCATGGTTTTGTTCTTCAGTGCTAGCTTTACTTTCATAGAATAACAGAATCATGGAATGGCTTGGGTTGGAAGGGACCTCAAGGATCATCAAGCTCCAACCCTCTGCCAAATGCAACCTCCACATTTAATACCTGACCAGGTTACCCAGGGCCCCATCCAACCTGGCCTTGAACATCTCCAGGGATGGAGCACTCACAGCTTCTCTGGGCAGCTGTTCCAGCACCTCACCACTCTCAGTACTGCTTTCCTCCATCCGTCAGGAAACCAGAGCTGCTGCAGGTAGAAGGGCAGATAAGAAAGGAAGCAAGGTGGGAGCAATCCCTGTTTGGAGAAGTTTCTGTTTCTCTGCAGTCCTAAACAAGCAGGTCAGCCTTTGACATTGAGTTTTTAGGGGAGATGAATTTCAAACTCCTCTTTGCATCCACAAACCTACAGTTTCTCCCACTCTGTGCGCTCAGACCGCATCAAGCTCACACCACCTCAGCTGGGAGATGCTCTGCTTCTTTTGGAGGTTCCAAGGCCCACGTGCTGCACTTTCTTCTCTTCATCTCCCCAGCAGCAGCACCTCACTGCCAGAGCAGCCCCTTGGACAGAGCTCCTTGTCAGCCCAGGTTTGATAGGGTATGGATCTGCTTTCCTCCCTGCTCACAGCTCTGCTGACTCAAAGGAAAGCAATCTGTAACGGGCCCCTCGATAGCTGTATTTTTCTTACTTAAGTGCACACAAATTGCAACATGCAACCAATTAGACAGACAGTTTATCATTTTTTTTTTTTTCCCCCACAACAAACATAATTTGTAATTCCAAAACGTCAATAAGAGCCCTTCACTTCTATATTTGGCAGCGTTTGAAAACTCAGCCTAGCCATTTTGGAGTCAATAATTAAAAGAAAAAAAAGGCAATTAGGGTATTAATTGAGACTCACCAAGTCACTTCACAGAACGTACTGTGTATTTTTTGACTGCACGCTTTGCCCTGACTGCTATTGCTGGATGCTCCTGGATGTGATACTGCAGCTGCAGTTTTCAGGGAGGTCCCAGGGGGCAGCCTCTGAGTGAACCCCAGTTCTGCAGCTCCACCAAATGGGAACAGCCACCCCAGGGGAGCCCCCTCCTACCTCTGGAGATGGCAAATTGTTCTTTTTTTTTCCCCACGCTAATATCCAAATTCACAGGAGGCATCACTGATACGGCAGATTCTTTGCACATTCAAACACCGAGCCAGGAAAGCAGTGTGCACAGGAATAAAGGCACTGCACTCTGCTTTCCAGAGCTCCCTGCTGGAGGGATATTTCTGCTAGCAGAGCTCTAATGCTGTGCAGCATTAAAGGGATTGGCAGCACACCACCTGCAGTATTAAGACTTCCATCAGCTGTCTCCTCACACAAAGAGCAGCGCCTCTCCAAAAATTTAATACCTTGCAATTTTACAAGTTTGATATTAATACCGAGGCTTAAGAAGAAAGTACAAGTCAGCGGAGTGCGGATGGATGCTCTTCCAGTTTGGCCAGCAGACCGCCCCTGGGTGAGCTCAGCGCGCTAATGAAGCAGCTCTGGCATTGTCCTGGTAGAAACAGATGCTATAAAAGATGAAGAAAAGAAAACCTAAAACCCGCCCGAGGGACTGATGCCCTATTGTAGTAGGTGCTACAGAAGTAAGTGGAATTAGCTCAGGCAGATCACAGGGACAAAGGAATGGAGAAAGGAAGGATGGTGTGGGAAAGCCTCACTGCCCCGACCGGCAGCTGCTTTGTGATGCAGGAGGAAGCAGCCAGCTCCTGCAGCACTGAAGCCATGCTGGTCACACAGACCTTCTCCGCCCTGCCACCCTGGGGCTGCTGAGGCACTGATCCCTGTGGAGGATTGCAGGGCAGAAGGACTTGGGGATGAGCTTTAAAGTGCTCCCGTACGGCTCAGCCAGTCCTTCTGCAGTGAACACTCTGGGGCCAGAGGAAGGAGCTTACCTCCCTGCTCCCACCTCAGCTACAGCAGGCCGCTCCCTCGAGGAGATGCTGGCAGGTTGGCAGGTATGTGTGACACAGCTCCCCACCTGAACAGGTGGGTGCCCCATTTCCCCTCTCTGGACGTGCAAAGGCAGCACTGGAAGGACAGACGAAGGACAAGCAGGACAGGCTGAGCTGCCAGCAGAGCCCATCCCGTGGCTTTGTTTTTTCTTGCAGTTGAATTAGATGCTGATAAGAGATGGTGAAGGATTTCCGTGCCACATGCAGCGCTGCGATGCAGGCTCTGATCTATGGATTACAGTTTACCAAGGAGACAGCTCTGTGGAAAAACACTTATGAGGAAGAAATGTCACTGTTGTAAAAAAAAAAAAAAGAAAAAAAAAAAAAAGAGGCTCAGGGAACCATTTTTCTACGGCTGTTTCCCTTGGAAAAGCCCAATAAAGTCACATCCACTCCGTTGCTGAGCATGGGAAGACTCTCTTATGGAACACCTCCATGAGATCCGGCTCTCAAACCTCACAGCATTCCCCAATCACCTCCTGCAAGCATTTCTCCAGAGGAACAAAACCAACCCTATGTGATTTTACTGCTGAGGTCTGTTATGAGTAGGTGGGAGGCCCCAATACTTCTGACCTTCAGGCTTTGAATTCACCCAGGCTAATGCTCATCTGAATAAAAAGCCACGTGCCAGACACCCAGGCTGGCAGAAGATCAGCCTCCCTCTCTGATTAAAATATTTAGTGCTGACTTATCCATAGCCATAAGCATCTCGCATTCAAAATCTGTGACTGCAGTGCAAAATGAATAATGCTCTTGAAAAGTCAAGCAGGTAACTGTAAAGTAGCTTACTAACATTGTCTGAGCCTGATTTGAAAAATCCCAGTGGAAAAGCTGCGGGTTACGTGTTCAAACAGGTCCTTCTCACACCAAATTCAGCACACGGGCTGGGAAATCCTTTTAAAGAAGGTGGGAACTGCAGCACCAGGGCTGCAAGCACTGCCAGCCGCCCTCATCCCCATAGAGCCCCAAACTTACACCTCACGTTGTCCATTGAGTCCTAAACCTGCAGTCCTGTCTGTGGGCTCAGAAAGGTAGAGCTCAGTGCAATGGTCAGCTGCTCCTCCACACACTTAAAGGCTTTTTCCTCAAACTGCAAAATAATATGAAGTGCTTTTCCAATATTGTAGGTTTTATGTGCCATAAAGCAGCATTTGGGTGCATTCCCGATTTCCGCACAGCTCTCCCTTACAGTGTTGCCCTAATTGTCCATTTCTGTTTACAACGTGCAAAGGAAAAGCTCAAATGCAGCTTTCTACCCCCTGCAAATACAGATATTGTTGTTTATTTATAGCTCCTTATTTGCAGAGGACCTATGGAGACAAGCAGAAATGTCATTTCCCAGGGAAGGCAGATGTATTGAATCAATCCCCACGCCGAGGGGCCTGGGGTATCTCGTAAAAGAACCACAATTCACAACAGAAGATAAATTGCCAAAGCCTTTATGCATCCCTTCCTGTCAGTTGCTTTCTCAGTAGAAACTTGGAAAAAAAAAAGCAAAAAAAAGACCCTTCTCCTGGCTCTAACAGGATGCTATAGATCTGTTCATCACCCTTCTGCGTGACAGAGCTGCAAACACAGGAGGAGTTGTCTCTGCATCTACACAGCTGTTCACTTTATGCTGACGTTCTGACCCAGAGTGTCACCTAATGGAGTGTGATGTGAGCTGGGTATGGCATGCTGACCACCTGGGTGGCCTCAGTCATCTCTAGAAGGTTCCTTTGGCAGGGAGGGAAACAAACCTGCCGGCTCAGATGAGGTGCAGGCTGCTCCTACTGGGAGGGCAGGGGCTCTTCCTACCTTAAAAAAGGGATATTCCTGCGTCTGCAGATGTAAAGTGAGGGAGGGAACAGGCAGCTGGTTTGCTTTTCTTAGGTAACAAGAAAAATTCCTGCCAGGCTGATGGAGAGGTTCTGAATTTAGAAAAGAAGCCAGTGCTTCACGGCTGCTGAATGCAGTGGGAAATGATCTGGTCTCAGAGTACATAGGATGATTCTATCTATCATTTAAACTTGGACGAAGAGGGGAGAGTAGAAATTAGGAAAACAGCAGTGTACAGAAAAGGGAAGAATAAAACGATGCCATGAAGAGCTGTGGCACCAAAGTTCAGAGCACATCTGGGGCAGGAAGGTCTGCAGGGGTCACTGCTCTCAGCACCCAGCCTCAGCCCTCTGCCGAAACCAGCAGCCACCTCCCCATCTCATCTCTGGGGTCCCCTCTCACCTCAGCCATTCCATCAGTCTACAGTTCCCTCTGGGGCTCTCATGGATTTTTCAGTGATGTAAGTCCTGTATTTTATTTCCTAGTCAAACAATGCTCGGCCCTTAGGGATCAAGCTATATGTGACTTATAATCCACCTAGCTAAGTGCAGGGTGCATCTGGGTGCATCTGCTTGGCAATCCCGAGCACAGATACAGGCTGGGTGAAGAACGGCTTGAGAGCAGTTTTCAGGAGAAGGATTTGGGAATGTCGGTTGATGAAAGATTGAACATGAGGTGGCAATGTGCACCTGCAGCCCAGAAAGCCAAATGAATCCTGGGTTGCATCCTGGGATGCTCCATCCCTGGAAGCACTGAAGGCCAGGCTGGATGGGGCTGTGAGCAGCCTGGGCTGGAGGGAGGTGTCCCTGCCTATAGCAAGGGGTTGGAACGAGGTGATCTTAAGGGTCCCTTCCAACCCAAACCAGTCTATGACTCTGTGATTCTAACAATTCAACCAACAATGCTTGATTATCTCCTAATGGCAGTTGATTAGTCTCCTATGGCACAGACCTTTCTGGGGACCCTCCTTTGCTTGGGCACCGCTCTCAGGGGGCTGATGTGTCTAGGCCCACTGCTGTCCAGAGCTATTTCACTCCCTTAGACTCATCTATCCCCGCAGTTATTTCTGTTTCAAGTTTTCTTAACAGCAAACAAAGCAAACAGCTTTGGAAAAATGTGGGTAGATCATCATATTTTTGAGCCACAGCATACTCGTATCTTACACCTGTTCTGGATCTTAAAAACATACACATGGTTCCTGCCACTGACCCTCTCCAGCTGTTGGGCTCCGACTGCAAATCACACAGTTGCAGATGACAAAATTACCTGCCTATCTCCAGTAATGTGTTTTCCAAACCCATTGTGGTAATGGCAGGAGCTGGTCTGTAAGTTAATGGACCATTTATTTATGGATCATACATAAGAGCGTTCAGTATTTTGTAACCAGAGAGTGAAGCTAAAATTTCCCTTTGTCTGAGCCCACGGACACCCACCTGCTGTGATTTGGGCTGTGCCTGGCAGGGGGCACCTGGAAGACAGAAGAGTCATTTATTTCCATTTAAATGCAGCTTCAGGCCAGAGGGACAGTGGGCTGCGGGCAGCCAAAGCTTCCCCAGGAGAGATACAGGCACACTTTGTCATCTCCAGGATGACAGCAGGAATAAAGAGCCACTGAGAGCACAAACCTCTCCCCTCGGTCAGAGATGAAACCTGGCGGCATCTGCCCCAGTGGGTCCATCCCTGCCCCAAGACCACTGGTCTGCTCAGCAGAGATGTTGGTGGGTTGTGGCCATCGAACCTCTTCGCTTTGAAAGAGGCTCATGGAAAAAGGTCCGTTTCCTCCTTATGGCAAACTGGATGGAAATTATGGTGCGATCATTTTGAGATGCTGGGAGGATGGGGAGGAAAATAAGAGTGAGCACGGTGGGGTCCCACCAAGCAGCATTCTCAGATTTGTTGGGCCAGTGACTGCAATGAAGCAAGGTCACTTAATGGGGGGAGAAATTCAGCCAAGCAATCTTCAGGGGAAGGGAAGAGTAGGAGACAACGTTGGCAAGCACAGGGTGAAATCAAACTGGAGAAATCAATAAAGGGAAAGGACAGAGGGGGGCGATGGGACATGGGAAGAGATAAATTAAAGGTTTGCCCAGGGGTTATGATGGCTAGTGAGCAATAAATTAAATAAAAGAGGGCAATAGGGAGTGCAAGGTAGTGTGAAAAATTAATTAAAAGGAAGGGAGGCATAACCAAAGCATAAAACATGGGTGCTGGCGGAAAGATTAGAGAACTCAGGAATGAAGAGGTTTTGAAAAGTGTAATAAGAACCAAAGCAGAGGCTGTAAAGGCTGTGACCGCATGTGAGGGTCAGATAAACAAGGCAGATGCATTTCAAGAGAAAGAAATAAACGCTGAGGAAGAAAGTAAGCACCTTGCACAAGGAGACGGCATTGCTGATCCGGGCTCCTGGTACACTGAGCCTCAATCCTTGGTCTGTGCATGCTCCTTACCTGCATCCAACTGGTCTCCATGCACACCTCTGCCTGAAAGGACACTGCACATGGGATGCTGTGGAATGAGGCATTGCAAGATGGAGTATTTTGGTTGAGATACGCCCAAAAGACAGCATTCTCCTCTCCCGCTCCCATCCCTGGTCTTTAAACCAGCCTCCATTCTGCTCCTTCAAGCCTCTCCAGCCTCTTCCTGCTCATCACCACAAAGCTCCTTAAATCAGTATTTCATCAGAGGGCTGTTAATTGCCACTGCAGTGCACGTGGTGCTTTGCCTTTGGGACATTTCTAACGAGCAGCAGGGCTGCATCTTTCAGAAGAGCCTTAGAGTATAAAGGTTATGCACAGGGTGAGAAATAATCATGAGGATATTTTCAGGCCCTTCAAATCCCATAAGAAAAGGAAAAATTGGGCAAGCTTGGATCTCACCTGCCTATCATTCAGCATGCTTTGAAATGGACAGTCAGACCCTGAGCCCAGAGAAGGTGGAAGTAAGCAAAAGATACACATGCCAGATATGAGAAAATGAGATAATAAAGGCACTCAAAGCCTTATTATTACGTTCCAGCAGCAGGAGGGGTAATGCAATAACAAGGCAGTGATGAGGGGCAGGCTGAGCCCAGCACCACAGCTTGGATCCATGTGGCACAGAGGAACCCATGCACATCAGTGGCACCCAGCAGCACACGGGAGAGCACTCAGAGGGGAAGTAGGACAGAAAGCCATGGATAATTAATAACACTGCAGAAAGCTAAGTAAGCTCCCTGACCTCTCTCTGCCCTCACCAGCTTGTCTCTGGCTTCTGTTTAAACTGGATTATAAATAGCGAAGCGATGGTGTGTTTTACCTAGAGATAATAGTAGGTAATGTCCCAGGGAGGCTGCAATGCAGGCAGAAGAGGCTAAAGGTAAATGCCCAGTCCTTTCTAATGCACCAGAGCAGAGCGACAATGGGGTCTTAAGGCCTGGTACAAGGAAATATCAGAGCGGGGCTGAGCCAAGCACTGTGAGATGCTGAGGTTTGAAACTTTGGTCCCTTAACACCTTTAAAGCAACAATCCGTTTAATTACCAACCCTCCCAGCTACAGAGCCACTGTTCAATGGTGTGCTGTGCCACTCAGACTTTGCACATTGTTTTCCCGTTGCCTGTGAACCCCAAAACCAAACAGGATTCAGCTAAGAGCTTGATGCAACACAGGCATGTGCTCAGCCTTCAGTCACGGTCTGCAGGTGAGGCTTCCTGCTCCTCTGGAGGGGATGACACAAGGGAGGTCAATGGGATGCAGTGTGAGACCCGTGACTTGTCGTGCTCTGATGCCCATACAGCAAACCCAAGGTTTTAGGGAGAAATGCAGAGCAACAAACTGGGGTTTGATAATACAGCTCTCTCCTAGCATGTAGAAAAGAATGAGCAAGCAGAAAATCATATGCTGCAATCCCTGTTTGTCCCTCTGCTTTGAAGGGAGTAGGAAGACCTGTCCCTACACAGCTTGTCCACCAAAGGACACCATTGGTTCCTCCAAGGTTAGACATGCTGTCCTGAAGTCACCTTACTGTCCCTGTGTTTTTCAGTGCCACTTCCATCCTCAAAAATAAATTAAAAAAAAAAATAATAATCCAGAGAAGAGAAACACCCTACCCCACACATTCAGCATAAACACGGAGATGTGTGGCACGCAGCATCCCCTGGATGTCACAGCATGCAGGGGAAAGCAGTCCATCCTCAGCTCCAGGCAGCACCAGCTCCCTCCCATCAGTGCCACTTCCCCGTGTCACACCACAGCCTGCAAAAGGTCAGTGCCTCACAGGGGAAACGTGTGTGAAGATGAAATGCTACAGAAGGGGGATGGTAAAATAAGCAATTTTTGGGTTAATTCCCTAAAGTTTCCAAATCAAATCCGGCTTGAAACCAATCTCAGACCTGGATTTCTGTTGATGAAGGAAGCAGTCCTGTTTTTTCTGCACTCCTTGCTAACTCCCATTTCTTTCCTTACAAAAAGTCCACGCTCACAAGTCATATTTGATGCAGCTGACAAGGGCAGAGCCATCACATCCCATCAAGCATACGCCTCTACAGCCTTGCAAGGGGAAGCTGAGAAAAGATGTGCAAAAAGAGATTTACTTTCAGGTTTTCATTCTAAGACATCCCCTTGCCTTCTGCTTGCTGACTCACCTTCCAGCTCTGCAGCACGTAGGGGCAGCCAGAAAACTGCACCTGGTTAGCAGAGGGCACAGAGTGAGCAGCATGGGATGCTCTCGTCTCCTGTCCCCAGTGCCTGAGCAGTGCATGGGATAATGACTATTCCCTTTTAATGTCTTAATGTTGAGAAATTGAGGCCCAGATCAATTAGTAATTGGAGGTAATTCCAAGGTAATTGGAAGCCTTTGACAGCTGAAGCTCAGCCAACTGGCCAAGGAACTTGGGAAAATTAGGATGGAGAGCTTGACCCTTGGGTATGGTCCTCAACCTGCCTTCACCTGGCATTCAGTCCTGTCCTCTGGCCTCTCTCTCCACAATATGCAATACTCCTTGAGTGGATAGCAGCTGGCTTTTGACAGGAGAGGCACAAAAAGCCTTGTAGTTGGAGAAACAAACCAAGATGGTGAGGATCTGGTGGTTTGGACATGGAGAGAAAGAACCCGTCCCCATGGGTTTGTTTCTCTATGAGAAGTTAGGGTGTCTGAATATAACCCACCCCATATCAAGCACTCAGGGTTCCTCATTAACTCATAGGATGAATGCATATCCACAGCTGGGGGATGCACCTTGGACAGACCACTCGAAGGCCAGAGACTTCTGAAGATCCATTCTGCAAGCATTTGCACCTGAACTTTGAGAATGGAGTTACCTTTGGCCACTGCAGAAATGACTCGTGATTCTCTGCCATCTGATGCAACGAGGAGTTATTTGGGAAAAGACTTTACACTTTTAACTCATGTACTATCTCAGTCAGAATTAACCTTCAAACACTGAGACGCTCTGAGAAACAGGTAATTTCACACGGCAAATCAGGAATTAAAAAACAACCCCCCAAATCAGATAATTTGAACTGACACGCTATTTTGATAAGATCAAGATTTGCAGAGAACGTAACTCTAAGGTCCAGCACTCATTATGAATTACTTGCTCATTTGGGTTGATCACAGACAAGCACCTCAGCGCTAGAATTTAATCACTGACTCAGGAAGGCTGTTCTAACCCATGGATTTGAGCCTGCTTTGACTGAATTAACAGGTTTAAAATCAGACATATGCTTGACTTTCTTTGGTTCATCAAGGTTGCAGGTACAGGGCACAGGATGATGTCAGCTACATGAAAACGTGTTCCTTTTTCTGTTCATCTCCCACTGCTGCACCCCCAGCAGAGCAAGGAAGCCTGGCATGGGCAGGAATGAGGACAGAGCTTCTGGGCTGAGCTCATGGCCTGTGCTGAATGCAATTGTGTCAGGGCTGGGCTCCCAATGGAAAACCTGACCTGTGAACAGAACTGCTTGGGTTCCTGCTCAGAAGAGGATAAGAGCAGAAAAAGAGAAGAGCAGATACAGATAAGAGACAGGATCAGAAGAGGAGAGCAGAACAGAAGGAAATGAGAGGATGCAGGTAAGAAAGAAGGGAAGGGGAAGGGGAGCAGGAGAGGAAATGAGAGGATGCTGTTGAGACAGAATGGCAGGAGAAGAGAAATGCAGGAGGAAATGAGAGGGTACAGTTAAGACAGAAGTGGAGAAGAGGAAAAGAGCACAAGCAGAGAAGAGAGGATACGAAGAGCAGAAGAGGAGCAGAGATGCTGAGGAGTAAGGACAGAGGTTAAGAGAGAACAGCAGTAGAGAAGAAAGCATATAGGTCCGTGCAGGTAGGATAAATGTGTGAGCACACAGAGAGGTTTTCTCTGTCCTGCAGAACTTCAGAGCTGGCTGTGAACAGGGCTGATCAGGAGCTTTGCAGAGAGCACTCCTGGTGCTTGCAGCCACTAAATAACTCCTTGTCATCAACCAAAACCAGCCTGAGGAGCTCTCCTTCCACGTCAGCCAAAGATGGCCTCACTGCTGAGAACATGGCTTTTCTAGCTCAAAACTTGTTTGGTTCCCCACATGAGAGGGCCCCGAGCTCCTCTCACAGAGGATGAACTCAGCACTGGCTGCCTAAGAGCATCTTCCAAACAACACAGCACAGATATGAGGGCAATCATTCCTACCTGGATCTTCACATTCTCCTGTTGCAGATGAAGACATGAGAATGGCAGCCCTTGAGAGATTTGCATTGTGTCTCCTCAGCCCAGGCTGCCATCACCCCAACCGTGGCTCACAGCCCCATCTCACCAGACAACAATCACAAGCTTATCTCAAGGGGCAAAGAAAGATTTGCACTCAACTGATCTTGACACTATCACCGCTGTCTCAAGCTGGGAGCACTTGGGGACAGGTCTGAAGCCCTTCCTCCCTTTCAAGCAAAACCACACTTTGTCTTATCTCCTGGAAATGGCCTGAGAGTGCTTCCAATCACTTGGGTTTCTTCTCCCTTCCTCCGAGGTTTTCAAGCACACCCAGACCACTGCAGACAGCCAGTTTCCTGCACTTCTGCAGACATTTGGGCTTCAGAGAGCAGATCGTTTGTCCGCAGTCACAAACACACAACGCTGCTAGGAGGGCTCAAGCAGCCAAGCAAGCTTCCTGCTCTGAACAGCTCAGTGCTGCACTTCCACCTGCACAGCTCCACCAGGGCAATCCCTGTGCTGCAAAGGAATCCTGCTGATGAGGCAATTGCTTGCAAAATAAAGACAAAAAAGAACGTGTGCATGCACAACTCAGAACCCACGCTGCAGAAATCACATAATCTCATCTTACTGAGGAAGTGCTTAGAAAGAAAGGAAACAACCCACGAGTAGCAAAACTGTCTGTGCTGGTACAAAGCACTTGCCAGTGCTTGTTGTGAGATGTTAGCGTGGCAAAGTCTGTAACATCCAGCTGCAGTGATGCCCAGCAGCTGATGGACAAAGCTCTCCATGCTTTGCACATTGCTGCTGCTCCTGAGGCATTGATGTTTTCTTCTCATGGTTCACAGCACCTGTAGAGGCTCTGGAAAGAACTACAGCTTGAGGTAGCCTCTTGAGGTCCATCAGCTGTCCCAGAGTCCATACTTTTCTTTGGCAAAAGTATCTTAGGCATGGAGGGTAAGCTGGTCCTACAAATAGGATGTTTTAGACTCATTTACAACTTCTGTGCCCCACCAACAGCTGCTCCTCACCTGTGCATCCCGAGCACTGGCACCTGCACGTCCCTCCTGACCCACAGCACCTCTGCTAAATTAAGCAACCTGCTACAACCCTTCCTTCCTTGGCCCACAGGGTGCTAAGAAGGTCACTGCCAGATCGTAGCTTAAAGGGTGAGCGAGCACTGCCCTAATCCTGAGAGGACAGGAACTGCCAGAGCTGATAAACAACCTGGACGAGTGATTACAGTCTGGATTTATTTGCCATCAGATGCTGTGATGGCCCTCTCCAATGCAGGCTGCTTCTAATGCAGCAGAAAACTTCAACCGTCTCCAAACCCTTACAGGATGCTCCCCGTCCTCCCATGATGGGACACCTCCAACCCTTTAAGGGTCAGCTCAATAACAGGTATTTCTGTGACCTCCTCCACATTGCTGAAATAACAGGCATTTCCATCAGCCTTCCCCATTCTCCAGTTGCTCTCAGTGATCTCGAATCAGGTGAATAACAGACATTTTCACAGCTTTTTCTACATCCCCCAAGAAATAGGTGGTTTCACACTTCTTTTCAGAATCAACCTCTATTCCGTGAGCTCCCCATAAACCGGAGGGAGAAGTGAAAAATGGAAAAGCAAATAATGATCCAGCAGGGCTGAAGGGTTCAGAAGCACTGTGGAAGGAATGAGCTCGCCAGCTGAAGGAGGTGCTGCAGCCCAAGCAGCGTGCTCAAAAACTGAGGCGTTTCTTCCATGCTGCTGAATCTCACCGTTCCATTTGCTGAGTTCAATCCTGGTCTCTGGAATCAGAGCACAGTGTTTCGCTTGCTCGTGGAGAAGGCAGCTTTTAGTCCACTCATTTGCTTAACAAATCTGTATGTCAGAATTCCTTAGCCCCACTTTGTGGCAAGACACTTCCACTGCTACTAAACTGAGGTATATGAAGCAAGGAAATGGTTGTAGGCAAATCATAAACAAGCCAAATTCCATTTCTCCTTCACCCTCTTCAAGGTGAATCAGGGCTAATCCTGTTATTTTGGAGTGTCACGGATCAGATTTCCAAATAAGATAGAAGGACTGGATCTTTATTTTCTGATTGTGATGCCTACCAAGCAACAGCAGAGACCCAACCTGCATGGCGAGAGGTTTCACCTGATCTCTTTCCTCTCCTACTTAAGATCCCAAGGAAAATCTCAACCACAGTCCCAATTCATACAAGTGTGTTACACCACGGCTGCAAGTCCAGCAGAACTGGAAAGTGAGGAGCTGCTTTTATTCATCTGTCTGGGAACTGGAGGCGAAAGTCCTCTGCTGAATTCAGGTCACTGTGCCACGCTCCTATCATGCACTGTGCACCCAGTAAGTCCTGACATCTTCATTTATTCTCTGCTGAAGCAAATTCCATGTTTAGTTCAGCTGGACTCCTTTTCCTGTGTGCTCACCAGAACAAAACTCCCACAAAACCAGCAGGACATCTCCCAGCTCAGGACTTTCCCAACTTCATTGCTCAGGGAGCACAGCAAGTTTCTAATGCACCAGTGGTTCCTGAACCAGCATTTCTCAGTACTACTTGGGGCACACTGTCACTGAGCCCCGAACCCTTTTCCAGCCCTCCACAAACCCACAAATGTGCTACTTCAGCTCAGCCTGCTTGCAGGGCATTGTGCTGGGGCTGCTGTTGGACCAGACCTCCCCAGTCTGTAGGGGAACAGCTGCTGTTCATGTGCCATCTCCAGGGCTCACCCCCATCCCTCCCCTGTGCTCACAACACTCAAACTCTTCCATCACAACAAACCGCACGCGTGACTTTTAGAATGAATATAAGCAAAGCATCAGAAATTAAAATATGCTGGACCCACCGCATCCAAACAGACTGCCATCTGCCCACGTGGGGGTGATTAAGGTACTCCAGACCCTGCTGCCAACAGCATGGCAGGGAACAGCAGGCTCTCAGCACTGCCTTCCCCCTCTGCCTCCCCGAATGCCAGGATGAGAACACACAGAAGGTGCTAAGGGAAAACCATCAGCCCGAATCAACTGGAAAAAAGCAGCACCTGATGCCAGGTGTCCCCACTGCCCACAGCACGGAGCCTCTCCTCACACAGCAGCAGCCAGGATTCATCTCAGGGCTCTCTCACACCACTCACCACGTCCAAGGGATGCGTTACTCACCGGTAATGGTGTGGGCACTTGGGTTTGTTATCCTTCCTGTCTCCGGTCTGGGAGCAGGTGCAGCACCCCTCAACCGTCTCACCTTCGTCCTACAAGAATCAGGACACAGAGTTTTCTACCAGCTGTGGTAATCAGATAATCCAGTACTTTCTAATCCCCAGCAGAGGAGGGTATGCTGCACTGGAAAGAAAAGCCCCAGGCTGTATGTCTGCACGGATCAGACCCAAGCCCTTCGGACCTGAGGCTCTGAGCTGCTTAGCCAGGAGCTCAAAGCTGAGGAGACAGAGTTGTGTTCACAGGGCTGTACACTTGGGACAGCTTACTTCAGACTGGTTCAGGAAGTCCCACAGTACCTGCCCCATTGTGCTAACACTGCAGAAGGGTAACCGATGGATAGAGGCAGATAGGGATTTTTGGTCTGGGACTTCCAAGGAAAAAGAGGGTTTCTTCAAAATGAAACATTTCACAGTAAACAGGAGGGTTTTGTTGATTGAACCTGCTTTACACCAACTCCTCTGGGTCCCCTCTGAACTGTGAGAGCTTCAATTCGGGTCTCTGTTCCCTGCCATGGGCTGGGACGCCTGGCTGGTCTATGCAGTGTGCTGATGTATTGCCTTGAGAAGTCCATGAAGCAGCAATTGAACAGTCCCAAGCTTCAAGAACCAGATCCAATCTCCATTCACCCAATCCTAAATCATTAGCAAATCCACCCATTTAAACCCATTCACAGAATCCCAAGTTGGAAGGGACCCACAGGGATCACCAACCCAACCCCCAGCTCCACACAGAGCACCCCAACCCAAACCTATGGCTCAGAGTGATGTCCCAGTGCTCCCTGAGCTCCAGCAGCTCAGAACTATGCAGCAGTAGGGCACAGCAGGACAACCCCTTCCCTTGCCCAGCTGGCAGCACTGGGCCAGATGCACCCAGGGGACACTGCAGAAGGTCAAACTGGAATGGAGCTTTTAATTAAAAAGGAAAAAGTACTAAAGAGACAGAGACTAAAACCAGGTGGCCACGTAGCCACAGTTGCTGTCACCCAACAACCCAATGGCAATGAACTTGCAAATGGTGTTTCCTCAGTTCCCCTCCATTTCAGTGGACCCATCATTTAGGACTGTTGGATCTCTCCAGAGATGTATCTCATGTTAATCACTGAGTTCACAGATGCCAGCCAGGAGAACAGGGTTCATGGATAGATGTGGAGCAGGGGAGCAAACATGAGATATCTGAGGTAAGATTTGGGATGAGCAGAGCCCTGAACATAAGATCTCCCAGTGATGCTGGGGATGTGGCAAATGGAGAACCACAGAAGCAAATCCCAACCAGGCAGGAGGAGCAGAGATTTTACTGGAGATCTGGATGAAGTTCTCAATGCTTTAACCCATTCTTCTTCCAAACTCACCCAGGTCTTCTGATTGAAGTAGAAGTATTAATCTTGCTCCTGAAACTTTCCACTTCTGGTAAGAAATGTGTGTGGGGGGTGGGAGGGAGGAAAAGAAGTATGAGGGGCAGAGGAGCACTGTGCTTCAGTGAGCATCAGAGGCTCCTGAGGATGGGAAGTGAGACCCAGATGTGAGCTCTAAAAAGTTCAGCTCCATGGGAGGTGTACAGGAGGTGACACAGAAGAATCTCATGACTACTACCAATATCAAAGGGGCTAAGAAAAGAAAATCCCCTTCTGCTAGTCTGTAACTCCTCATTTCCCAAACCTACAGCTACTTTAAAGATGAACTTTCCTTGCTCTTACACCAAGTTTGTTATTGCATGAGTCCTCGTGAATTCAGGCAGGAGGAGCAGCAGGCTTCAGCCCTTCTGATTTTTCTAGAATCACTCCAAGCAATGATGGAAAAGTGAAGGAGGAAAAAAGTAAATATCCTGCCAAAACACAAAAACATCTTTCAAACAAAGTAACTGCACTGAAATGTGCTGTTTTATTTTCACTCTGAGCTTCCAAAGCATTTCCCTTCTCTCCCTGAATGATAACAGGCATAAAAATTAAATATAAATTCTCCAACAAAAAGCAAAATGCACTGAAGAGTAATAAATCACCGGGACTGGATGGCATTCAGAGGAAGCTGGGGGAAGGAATAAAGGATGAAATCGCATAGATTCTGACTAAGATGTATCACAGACCCTTAAAGAAACCCACAAGAACTCATCTCCAGGGCCAAGGGTTCACCACAGCAGGCTGAATTCTGATAAAGCAGCAAAGGGAACTCGCACAGCGAAGCGGCAGAGATGGTGCACAGCGCAGTCCCAAGCAGCACGGAGAGACTCGGCTGGATCACATCCCTACTTTGTGTGGGGATGAAGTCCAAAGAAAGGGCGAGATCATGTGCCAAGCACGGCCCAGTGTGCTGGCACTGAGAGCGGGGTCAGCTGGGGACTCCAGAGAAGACAAAGTGGGACCGGCCCTGTGCTGCACTGGGGACATGGGACACAGCCACTTCTGAACAGCTGCCATGGGCTGAATGCTTTCTCACCTGATGACCTGAGATTCCTACATCTGCATTCCCAATAACCTGAAACGCTCCCTGGGGCGTCATACAGAAGCACAGTATTCTGGAAACACTATAGATCAGCACTCATTTTCTTCTTATAAACAAGTTCACCTTTAGTTCTGCAGGCACCTCCTACTTCATTAAACTTAAAGATCTTGCTCCCCGGGGGTTTCCTCCTCAACTGGGGCAGGAAATGAAAAGACAGAAATGCAATTTAATTGGGGATGAAGCTTCATCTTTACGCCGCCTATCACCATTACGTGTCATTTAGAAACAAGCAATGAAGCAGGTGTGAAATGACACCAGCTCCGGATGCACATAAAGAAGGTTGACACCACCAGGATGTCTCAGCAAGATTCAGATGGTGCAGCTTGAAAACTCATTTTCCCTTTGGCTTCTTTCTTCCTTTCTCCCAGGAAAAAAAAAAAAAAAAAGATATGGGACAGAAGAGGTGGCAGCTTTACAGAAGCCCATGGTGTGAAAAGAAGCCAATTCCAGCACCTTGCAAAACCCTCCTGGTGCAGGGCTGTGATGATAACTTGGCACTTGCCTTCACGTGACACAGAGATGCCAACAGCAAAACTGCTGCTCCTGTTTCTTCCTCTCCAGTAATGACTTTGCCTGTCTGCTCCCTGCTGGATGAAGCATCAGGCTCAGCTTGATGCAGCCCCTTCTGCTAGCAGGTGATAGTGCAGCTCACAACTCCAGAAGTGACACGAAGGCACTGATGGTGCCCTGGGCGTTGAGGCGGATGGGAGAGGGCTCTGCTGTCCCTTTGGTTATCCACGTCCTTCCTCCATGCTGCAGGAATAAAGAGCAAAGTAATGAAACGCTTGTTGAGACACAAATGAGGATTCAGGTGGACCTCCAGCAGAGAGCAGAACCAAGGAGGATCAGGGAGAGCTCTGTGCTTCCAGGTTACTGGGTTGTTTGCTGGTTTGGTTTCATGTGATTGCAATTATCTCCTCAAAAAGCGATGACTGCAGTGCAAGATCTCCAGCCTTTGTGCCTTTCTGGATGGTATTGGTAACACCTTGGATGTGAACAGTCAATTTTCTTCCTAACAAATGCCATTTCTCTGCCTATGGGAGATGGGGACTATGGGAGATGGGGACGAGCGTTAACTACTGCACCCTAATTAGCAGCTGCCCATCGTTTTCATTTTAAGCAACACACCAGTGTGGTTTTATTCTTCCAGTGATCCTTTAATGTCGCATTTTCCCTGTGCTGGATCAATATGCAGATCTCCTCACTGGAGCTCACCTGCTCACCTGGCCCTGGGCCAGGACTGCACAGCAGCTGAGTGTATCAGATGCTCTCACTGGCTGCATCAGCAGAGCCCAGCTTTGCACTGTGCCTTCCCTGCAGGAAAGCAATGCAAGAAGCTGAGCTCTTTCTGTAATTGAGACATGAAACTCTAAACCACGTCCCAGCCATGGCTGGGCTCAGGGATAGGTCAGTTTTTCTGCTCCACTTCAAGGGGCACAGACGCAGCTCTTTGCTGCTGCTAATTTTAAATCACGTCTCCATCTTCTGCCTATAAATTCTCTCCTGCTGTCAAAAGGTGACCAAGCCAGTTGGAAAGCTATTTTTCACATCTTTGCTAATCCAGAAGCACCTTGCTGCCTCCTCCCAGCATGAAAATGCTGACAGCAGAACTAGGGGTGGCTGCAGGAGTGCAGGCTGGGCATGGGGAGCACTGCCATTCATGGGGCAGCAGGAATGCAGGAGCACAGGATCAGTTCCCACACCCTCCTCAATGCCCTCTGCTCAACCTTGGGCTCCTCAGCCCCACCTCCATTAATTGTGGCTTAAGGGCACCCCCACAGGTGGTCTTGCAGATAAATCTGAGTTATAACGAGAACAACGGCCCTGTTAGAATAAAACTGGTTATTTTTTCCCTTGCTTCACCACTGGCTTTAGGAATGAAGTCGAGGATGACTGTAATCCATTATGTCAAGGGTGAGGGCTGAGCTTTTTACAAGATTTGTGCATGCTCAGCTCCAGGATCTTCTCCCATCACCTGCTGTCATTTCCTGGCGATAAATAGCTCTAAGGAAGAGCAGCTGCAGGGAGCAGGGTGAGGTGGGTTTCTCAGGATCTGGAGGCTTGCAGGAAAGCAGCCCCCACCCCAAGGAGCCCTGAGATGGGCTGCAGGGTTCAGCCATGGGGGCAAAAGTTTGGGACCAACCCTCTCTGCAGGCAGCAACACTCAGCTCTCCCCACACCTCCAGGGACAGCCCTGGCCTGGAAGCAGCATTCAGACCATCTCCTATCCCTCTCCAAGCGGTGGTTCCCCCACCTCTACAGCTGCAGCGGACAAAACCCACCAGAGCAGGAGGTGCTGCTGAAGCACAGTGCAGCAAGAGCCCACGGAGACAGGAGGGACAGGAAAGGGAAACCTCAGCCACCTGTCAAAACCCCAGCAGTGGGGATAATTGGCTTACACACGTTTATCCCTGCACCCAATTATCAGCTCAGTTTAGTGTTTGATTTTCCACAGGTCCAGTCCAGCAGGCCGGCCGTTGTTCTGCTCCATTCTCCATTCCCTCACTCATTTATACGTATATTATCCACTCTCTAAA